GGTTTTAAAGGTACAAACGCGATCAGCACACTGGCCCATAAGGGCTATCGCGAAGACGGAACCTTTTAGGGCATTGACCTTAATCTTCCACTTACCATAGTAACGTAGTAAACAAAGAGTCCTAAGTTAATTGTTAAGCTCAATGTAGTTTAACTGGGGAGGTTGGACCTCATGTAGATGAGACAATCATCTGCGTAGCAGATTTGCCTAATGCATTGTGAAGGAAGGGGTAGGTCAGCATTAAAAATATTTAAAAGGATGGAGTATTCGCTAAAAACAGCCATTACTCGAAACAGCTGTATGGTCAGCTAAAAATTCAATTAACTAAAAATTCCGTTTTTACAATTCACTACTGTTCGAAACCTCTCAGTTACATTTTATAATTTTTTACTTGTTATATCATGATTTTAATTATAAAATAATTAATAATCAATTTAAAAATAAAATATTTTTGTTATACTTTAGTACTATTTAATAACCTTTGCATTAGCAAAACAGTTTTCTTCGTAATTTTCGTCGTATTTATCTTTAAAAACTACATTAGTTTAATTTTGGAGAATCGCTCAATTTTATAAGAAACTTATAAATAAATTGTTCAATTGAAAATTAAACGATAACTTCAAAATACCATATGAATTAAACGAAAAATTGCTTCATATTCGGTTATACTTTTTATAATAGAAAAGATTTTTACTTTCTACAATCCATAATAAGCGATGAAACTATTTTTCGTTTAATAATACTTTCTATTTAAGTCTTTTTTATCTAAATTCGAAATTTTAAGCCCACATTTAAATGGATTAAAAATAATTTCCTTCTTTTTATCGCATACATTTTGTCAAATAAATTTCGATTTCATCCATGAGTTTTTTAACATCCATCGCACTAGTAATTCGTATGAAATGCGAAAAAAAACATCAGATACAGAATCCGACAGGTCTAGTATTTTAGTGATGACATTGATTCCATATCGCATAATTTAATAGGCCTAGTCAGCTGTAAGCAGTAAGCAATAAGCCGCGTGATGTCATGATATTCCAAATTGTATATGGTACAGTAACAGCTTTGGTAGGATTTACAAGCAGCATTGTCTATAAGTATAAATTAATATTTTATTGACTTCTTTTTAATTAAAAATTAGTTTGAGTTTAAATAGTTAATGAAATTATTACAATCATGATTTTATATAGATACTTAGGTGTGGCTAGGTAGTAGCTTAGGTGAATAAAAAGGAGGGTAAATAATATAAAGAGATAGAATCTTTATAGTATACACATTAGACTGTTTTCACACCTATTTCTTATATTGTTTAGAGCACTATTTGTGCTCAGTATTCATTTATTATTCATTTAAATAATAAATAATGAGCCACATTATTTTTATTATTTAACAAGACTAATTCGGTATATACTTTGTGATAATGATTGAAATTATATATTTTCAATTTGAGTTCATATAACTGTAAACATATGCATATATTATACTTTTACACTATTATACTTATAGTTCTGCGATTGACACAGAACTATTCATTTTATTTAAAAATTATTCTTATCACTGCACAATAATTGAGTTTATAATGAAGTGAAAACTTCAATAATATAATATGTAGACAGTGTGGTACCCGCATAACACCAATTTGTTTGGCAGAGGTTCATGTTAAGTAAATATGGTATGTGATTCATTGCAGAGGAACTTAAGGGTGAAATACAGAAAATATATTAATATTAATATATATCATATTGTCAGTTCTTCCGTTTTTCAGTATTTGAATTGATAAAGAAATGACTTTTAATATTTTTTCAAATGTTCTCATTTTTATCCCTCGAAAACAGACAGACTCTTTTATGTTGAAGGAGATATGTTATGTTGGATAATATCGGATTATTCAAATAAAGGTTTATATTATTCAACTCATAGGGAATATGTTTTCCGATATCTTTTTACTACCTAAAAGGTACTAACTTTACATATTACACAAAACTTACATATATGTGAAAAATATAAAAACAGCTAAATTCTTATTAAACTTAGACTAGGTGCTATTTCAGTTAACACTTTTATTTGTTAATATCTTAATTAAACTTAATCAACTGACGATTATAGTTAAAATTAAATTTATAGACTAAGATTGCTGGAATTTTTTTGCTGGAGTTTCAATATTCGTAATGGAGGTTATTAATCTTTCAAGTCACTATACAATCAATACGTCAACTATTAGAACTTTGTGCCTTTTTTACATATTATAATCTTACTTTCTCAATAATTTCACAATTTAAATATTTTGTTGGTATCACCTTTGAGTAATGTGCTAACATTTGCTTACGTGTCTGACGCTCTTCCTCTGTATATTGGAGTGCCTTGTTAACAGGTTATATTTTTCGTGCTTTTTCCTCATATCATTTTAACTAAAATTAACTTGTATCACCCTATAACAGGATTAAAGTAATGTTATATACGCTTAATATTATTGTCACAAACTCACCACCACTGCACCTAACAGTTCCTGTAAAGTATCTGCTTTTTATTCATGCATTTCATCACTCTCCAAGATGCCAACTATATAATCACCAAAAATCGATTCATCTCTCTGCCACTTGTTTAATTTTTCCAGTAATAATTTCTTTCAAATGATATATGTACGTCGTATTAATCTTTTTAATTGTTACTGATTAATTTTATTTAACTTTTAGATCAGTTTTGTTGTTAAGTGCAACTGATTTCATTTTAAATTTACATTGTCAATTTATCTTATAAATTCATTGTAAGTTGATATTGTTAGATTATAAATAATTTACTTTACTTTTAAATTTAAATAATTTCCTCCATTTACTTTATTTGTTTTTTAGTTGTCATTTGATAACTGTCATTTACAGTGGTGGCAATAAATATGTTCTTTGATATTGAAATGACACGTTTAATAGTGTATAGTGTACATAATATTATTCGGACAAAACACTTCCACATTAGGCTTTTAGAACAAAATCTTGTAAAATTTTTTCTTATATGAGGTTAGGATAATGTAAATTGAAATGGATTTAGTGCTAGACTTCAAAGAGAAATTAAAATAAGGCATTTTAAAACTGTTTATTTGGTCTGCAATCTCTTTCGCCCATATGGAAAGAATCCGTCTTTTCGAGATATATATGTTCTTTGTGTTTGGTTGAAACTTTTAAGAAAAAAAATGTATTTGAAACAAATGAAACTCTAAATTATTTGAGTTTATAGAATTTTTCTTTGATGTTGTGGTGCTTTTATGTATTTTTAACCATTATATATCATTCATATATATGGTTTATAAATTAATTTCTTTTAAGGTTTTTCAATAATTTTTGTAATTTCTATGTAATTATTTTCCTTAAACTTTTACATTGTATAAAAATTATATGCACTTATTTCATTTACCGATATTGATTTAAACAACATTTGCTTTTAAATTCACTTCAATTACTACTTATTTATAAAATAAATTGTTTTATATCATAACAAAAAAACATGTTTTTAATTATTTAAATTTCTTTTCTTAATTTATGTTTAACTAAATTATATATATATATATATACATATATATGCATAAATTTTTAATTGATTCGTATTATTGTGTTTAAGATTTCTCCTCAAAGCAAAATTTTTCTTATGAATTTTAAATTTAAAATCAAATTTTTTTTAATATAATAATAAAATATGTAGGAATTGTACTGCTTATAAGATCTTTTCAAATGTGGACTCGGTTATCTCCTCCGTTACTCGCGGTCACTTTTTAAATACCTGTTCACCGTCTCAGTATTTCATTATTTTAACGGTGTATAAAGCTGCCGTAATTCATATAGTCCAACATTTTAGTATTGCAGATGATTGTTGGAATTATTATAAATGAGTGTTGGAACACCTATGCTCGATTAATTTCATCACACGTATTTCATTGATATGTTAATTTATTACCACTATTTAAACAAGGATATGTATTGTTTTTAATTGTTAAAAATCTTGAATCTTTTTATTTAATCTCCTTCAGTACCTTTCATTTACAATTTTAATTCACGAAAATTTACAAAAATAAAAAAAATCTTCACAGGTACAAAAAAATTTCTCCCGCACATATAAAAATCATAAAAGTCTTCGAACAGCACTGCACTCGGACTTATATTTTCCGATATCTTGACAGTATCCAAAACACACCTTTTATACGACAGTTTATTCCGAGGTTTTAAAGGTCCAAACGCGATCAGCACACTGGCCCATAAGGGCTATCGCGAAGACGGAACCTTTTAGGGCATTGACCTTAATCTTCCACTTACCGTAGTAACGTAGTAAACAAAGAGTCCTAAGGTAATTGTTAAGCTCAATGTACTTTCAACTGGGGAGGTTGGACCTCATGTAGATGAGACAATCATCTGCGTAGCAGATTTGCCTAATGCATTGTGAAGGAAGGGGTAGGTCAGCATTAAAAATATTTAAAAGGATGGGGTATTCGTTAGAAACAGCTATTACTCGAAACAGCTGTATGGTCAGCCAAAAATTCAATTAACTAAAAATTCCGTTTTTACAATTCACTACTGTTCGAAACCTCTCAGTTACATTTTATAATTTTTTACTTGTTATGCCATGATTTTAATTATAAAATAATTAATAATCAATTTAAAAATAAAATATTTTTGTTATAATTTGGTACTATTCAAAAACCTTTGCATTAGCAAAACAGTTTTCTTCGTAATTTTCGTCGTATTTATCTTTAAAAACTACATTCGTTTAATTTTGGAGAATCGCTCAATTTTATAAGAAACTTATAAATAAATTGTTCAATTGAAAATTAAAGGATAACTTCAAAATACCATATGAATTAAACGAAAAATTGCTTCATATTCGGTTATACTTTTTATAATAGAAAAGATTTCTACTTTCTACAATCCATAATAAGCGATGAAACTATTTTCCAGAATTGATAGAACCCTAGTTTAATGGACAATCGAATTTGCAACATTGGTGACTTTCTTTGTTCTAGTATTCTATTTTATTAAGAAAATATCCTCAGTAATGTCGTTCAGTTATATCTAAATGAGACATAAATATTGTTATATTGTATATATTGTATATAAATTTTAAAATACAAATATATGTACATTTTTACTTTGTAAATTAAATTGTTCTTTTTTATTTTCACAATCACTCTCATTTGTCATTAGAGAGGTTGTAACATATATTCGCCTTGCATAAACATTTCTTCTTGGATAGGTGCATATTTGGTTAAACTTCCCGTTAATAATACTTTCCATTTAAGTCTTTTTTTTATCTAAATTCGAAATTTTAAGCCCACATTTAAATGGATTAAAAATAATTTCCTTCTTTTTATAGCATACATTTTGTCAAATAAATTTCGATTTCATCCATGAGCTTTTTAACATCCATCGCACTAGTAATTCGTATGAAATGCGAAAAAAAACATCAGATACAGAATCCGACAGGTCTAGTATTTTAGTGACGACATTGACTCCATATCGCATAATTTAATAGACCTAATCAGCTGTAAGCAATAAGCAATAAGCCGCATGATGTCATGATATTCCAAATTGTATATGGTACAGTAACGGTTTTGGTAGGATTTACAAGCAACATTATCTATAAGTATAAATTAATATTTTATTGACTTCTTTTTAATTAAAAATTAGTTTGAGTTTAAATAGTTAATGAAATTATTACAATCATGATTTTATATAGATACTTAGGTGTGGCTAGGTAGTAGCTTAGGTGAATAAAAAGGAGGGTAAATAATATAAAGAGATAGAATCTTTATAGTATACACATTAGACTGTGTGAAAACCACCTATTTCTTATATTGTTTAGAGCACTATTTGTGCTCAGTATTCATTTATTATTCATTTAAATAATAAATAATGAGCCACATTATTTTTATTATTTAACAAGACTAATTCGGTATATACTTTGTGATAATGATTGAAATTATATATTTTCAATTTGAGTTCATATAACCGTAAACATATGCATATATTATACCTTTACACTATTATATTTATTGTTCTGCGATTGACAGAACTATTCATTTTATTTAAAAATTATTCTTATCGCTGCACATTAATTGAGTTTATAATGAAGTGAAAACTTCAATAATATAATATGTAGACAGTGTGGTACTCGCATAACACCAATTTGTTTGGCAGAGGTTCATGTTAAGTAAATATGGTATGTGATTCATTGCAGAGGAACTTAAGGGTGAAATATAGAAAATATATTAATGTTAATATATATCATATTGTCAGTTCTTCCGTTTTTCAGTATTTGAATTGATGAAGAAATGACTTTGAATATTTTTTCAAATGTTCTCATTTTTATCCCTCGAAAACAGACAGACTCTTTTATGTTGAAGCAGATATGTTATGTTGGATAATATCGGATTATTCAAATAAAGTTTTATATTATTCAACTCATAGGGAATATGTTTTCCGATATCTTTTTACTACCTAAAAGGCACTAACTTTACTATATTACACAAAACTTACATATATATGAAAAATATAAAAACAGCTAAATTCTTATTAAACTTAGACTAGGTGCTCTCTAATAATAACAAAATTTAAATTTATTAATAATATTATTAAGATATTTTGAAGTTACAAAACAGCTATAGACAAGTGCAGGCATTTCACCTGGACCCATGTTAAATACAACTTTTATACCGGTACCTACATCGTGTTTTTATACTTTCTTCCTCATCTCATTCCATGTACAAAGTCTTCAACCTTTTGTGTGTTTGCTGTGAAATGGGCATTTGGTTACAGCAGTAGCAACAACAACAGCAACAACAACAACAACAACAACAGATAATACAATAGAATCGTTGGCCTATTTCAGTTAACACTTTTATTTGTTAATTTCTTAAATAAACTTAATCAACTGACGATTATAGTTAACAATGAAATTTATAGACTAATATTGCTGAAGTGTTCTTGCTGGAGTTTCAATATTCGTAATGGAGGTTATTAATCTTTCAAGTCACTATACAATCAATACGTCAACTATTAGAACTTTGTGCCTTTTTTACATATTATAATCCTACTTTCTCAATAATTTCACAATTTAAATATTTTGTTGGTATCACCTTTGAGTAATATGCTAACATTTACTTACGTGTCTGACGCTCTTCCTCTGTATATTGGAGTGCCTTGTTAACAGGTTATATTTTTCGTGCTTTTTCCTCATATCATTTTAACTAAAATTAACTTGTATCACCCTAAAACAGGATTAAAGTAATGTTATATACGCTTAATATTATTGCCACAAACTCACCACCACTGCACCTAACAGTTCCTGTAAAGTATCTGCTTTTTATTCATGCATTTCATCACTCTCCAAGATGCCAACTATATAATCACCAAAAATCGATTCATCTCTCTGCCACTTGTTTAATTTTTCCAGTAATAATTTCTTTCAAATGATATATGTACGTCGTATTAATCTTTTTAATTGTTACTGATTAATTTTTTTTAACTTTTGGATCAGTTTTGTTGTTAAGTGCAACTGATTTCATTTTAAATTTACATTGTCAATTTATCTTATAAATTCATTGTAAGTTGATATTTTGTTAGATTATAAATAATTTACTTTACTTTTAAATTTAAGTAATTTCCTCCATTTACTTTATTTGTTTAGTTGTCATTTGATAACTGTCATTTACAGTGGTGGCAATAAATATGTTCTTTGATATTGAAATGACATGTTTAATAGAGTATATTGTACATAATAATATTCGGACAAACAACTTCCACATTAGGCTTTTAGAACAAAATCTTGTAAAATTTTTTCTTATATGAGGTTAGGATTATGTAAATTGAAATTGATTTAGTGCTAGACTTCAAAAAGAAATTAAAATAAGGCATTTTAAAACTGTTTATTTGGTCTGCAATCTCTTTCGCCCATATGGAAAGAATCCGTCTTTTCGAGATATATATGTTCTTTGTGTTTGGTTGAAACTTTTAAGAAAAAAAATGTATTTGAAACAAATGAAACTCTAAATTATTTGAGTTTATAGAATTTTTCTTTGATGTTGTGGTGCTTTTATGTATTTTTAACCATTATATATCATTCATATATATGGTTTATAAATTAATTTCTTTTAAGGTTTTTCAATCATTTTTGTAATTTCTATGTAATTATTTTCCTTAAACTTTTACATTGTATAAAAATTATATGCACTTATTTCATTTACCGATATTGATTTAAACAACATTTGCTTTTAAATTCACTTCAGTTACTACTTATTTATAAAATAAATTGTTTTATATCATAACAAAAAAATATGTTTTTAATTATTTAAATTTCTTTTCTTAATTTATGTTTAACTAAATTATATATATATATATATATATATGCATAAATTTTTAATTGATTCGTATTATTGTGTTTAAGATTTCTTCTCAAAACAAAATTTTTCTTATGAATTTTAAATTTAAAATCAAATTTTTTTTAATATAATAATAAAATACGTAGGCATTGTACTGCTTATAAGATCTTTTCAAATGTGGACTCGGTTATCTCCTCCGTTACTCGCGGTCACTTTTTAAATACCTGTTCACCGTCTCAGTATTTCATTATTTTAACGGTGTATAACGCTGCCGTAATTCATATAGTCCAACTTTTTAGTATTGCAGATGATTGTTGGAATTATTATAAATGAGTGTTGGAACACCTATGCTCGATTAATTTCATCACACGTATTTCATTGATATGTTAATTTATTACCACTATTTAAACAAGGATATGTATTGTTTTTAATTGTTAAAAATCTTGAATATTTTTATTTAATCTCCTTCAGTACCTTTCATTTACAATTTTAATTCACGAAAATTTACAAAAATAAAAAAAATCTTCACAGGTACAAAAAAATTTCTCCCGCACATATAAAAATCATAAAAGTCTTCGAACAGCACTGCACTCGAACTTATATTTTCCGATATCTTGACAGTATCCAAAACACACCTTTTATACGACAGTTTATTCCGAGGTTTTAAAGGTACAGACGCGATCAGCACACTGGCCCATAAGGGCTATCGCGAAGACGGAACCTTTTAGGGCATTGACCTTAATCTTCCACTTACCGTAGTAACGTAATAAACAAAGAGTCCTAAGGTAATTGTTAAGCTCAATGTACTTTCAACTGGGGAGGTTGGACCTCATGTAGATGAGACAATCATCTGCGTAGCAGATTTGCCTAATGCATTGTGAAGGAAGGGGTAGGTCAGCATTAAAAATATTTAAAAGAATGGGGTATTCGCTAGAAACAGCTATTACTCGAAACAGCTGTATGGTCAGCCAAAAATTCAATTAACTAAAAATTCCGTTTTTACAATTCACTACTGTTCGAAACCTCTCAGTTACATTTTATAATTTTTTACTTGTTATGCCATGATTTTAATTATAAAATAATTAATAATCAATTTGAAAATAAAATATTTTTGTTATAATTTGGTACTATACAAAAACCTTTGCATTAGCAAAACAGTTTTCTTCGTAATTTTCGTCGTATTTATCTTTAAAAACTACATTCGTTTAATTTTGGGGAATCGCTCAATTTTATAAGAAACTTATAAATAAATTGTTCAATTGAAAATTAAAGGATAACTTCAAAATACCATATGAATTAAACGAAAAATTGCTTCATATTCGGTTATACTTTTTATAATAGAAAAGATTTTTACTTTCTACAATCCATAATAAGCGATGAAACTATTTTCCAGAATTGATAGAACCCTAGTTTAATGGACAATCAAATTTGCAACATTGGTGACTTTTCTTGTTCTAGTATTCTATTTTATTAAGAAAATATCCTCAGTAATGTCGTTCAGTTATATCTAAATGAGACATAAATATTGTTATATTGTATATATTGTATATAAATTTTAAAATACAAATATATGTACATTTTTCCTTTGTAAATTAAATTGTTCTTTTTTATTTTCACAATCACTCTTCATTTGTCATTAGAGAGGTTGTAACATATATTCGCCTTGCATAAACATTTCTTCTTGGATAGGTGCATATTTGGTTAAACTTCCCGTTAATATTACTTTCCATTTAAGTCTTTTTTATCTAAATTCGAAATTTTAAGCCCACATTTAAATGGATTAAAAATAATTTCCTTCTTTTTATCGCATACATTTTGTGAAATAAATTTCGATTTCATCCATGAGCTTTTTAACATCCATCGCACTAGTAATTCGTATGAAATGCGAAAAAAAAACATCAGATACAGAATCCGACAGGTCTAGTATTTTAGTGACGACATTGACTCCATATCGCATAATTTAATAGACCTAGTCAGCTGTAAGCAGTAAGCAATAAGCCGCGTGATGTCATGATATTCCAAATTGTATATGGTACAGTAACAGCTTTGGTAGGATTTACAAGCAACATTGTCTATAAGTATAAATTAATATTTTATTGACTTCTTTTTAATTAAAAATTAGTTTGAGTTTGTATGAAAAACAAATACGAATTTCCATACACGCAAAACTTTATGTATTTATTCGTTAAGGATTTAGTCAATTAAATTTTATTACATTCTTATACAAATTTTTTACTGATAAATTATTAATATCTTGTCAAGCCAAAAAACGTGCACACACCGCCAGTAGCCAATTAAGAAGAAGGAAAAGGAAAAAGCAAAAAAGCGAAGCCAAAATTATCGCTGCCAGATGTTAGGATGCCATTGTCAAAAAGTGCTAAATGTGTGCTGCCACATCGCCTAGTTGCTGTGCCAAATCTCAAACATCCTCCCCGGCTGGACGGGTACGTTCAGGATGTTCCACAAGCCTGCATATTTTTTGGATAGGTCGCATGCATTCGCCTGCTGAATGCTTGATCGTGACTACTCGGACCAAAGCCGCCAATGTGTGGCTGGTAGATTCTCGTGCCGGATTACCACGACATCGCCTATGTTAATGTTGTCGCCATTCTGATGCCATTTGGAACGTGGTTGCAAAGTTGAAAGATATTCGTCATGCCATTGTCGCCAAAAATGCTGTTGCATTTGCCTTAATTGTCGCCAGTATGATAATTTGTTGCTAGGTACCTTGCCAATAGGTGCGTCTGGTACTGCCAATAGAGATCTGCCAATCAGGAAATCTGCAGCTGATAGAGCCATCTTGTCGTCACAAGTGTCATGCAATGGTATAAGTGGACGCGAATTCAAGCAAGCCTCGATATGTACAAGTAGAGTATGTAGCTGATCATAGTAAATGGAATGGGTGCCAACAATGCGTAGTAAGTGCTTCTTCGCTGACTTAACGGCAGCTTCCCATAGTCCGCCTTGATGAGGTGCGCCAGGTGGTAGAAAATGCCATTTTGTGCCTCGATTCGCCAATTGCTGTTGAGAATATTCATTATGCCAAGCCTGTAAGTCAGCGGCCATTAAGCGATCTGCGCCAATGAATGTAGTGCCATTGTCACTGTATAAATGATTACATGGACCACGCCGGTTTACGAAACGGGTGTATGCATTTATGAAAGCCTCAGAAGTGAGATCTTCAGCCAGTTCGATGTGCACTGCCTTGGTTGCCATGCACACAAAGATTGCCACGTAAGCCTTCCGCACGGTTCGTACAGCCTTGGAGCCAATGCGTATGTTGAATGGACCGCAATAGTCTAAGCCAGATCTAGCAAATGGTGGAGATGGGGTGACCCGAGCCTTTGGTAATGTCGCCATACGTTGTTTTAGCATTATGTGTTTATGCCGCCTGCAAATCGCGCATGAGTGTATGCATTGCTTTACCAAAATGCGTGCCTGTAGAATCCAATATTTGTGTCGAATCGTATGAAGCATGATTTGTATACCGCCATGAAGTGTGTCCTGATGCACCTGCCATATTAAAAGCCTGGCCAATGTGCTATCCTTCGGAAGAATGATTGGATGACGCTGTGGCTCTGCCACCCTCGCATTGTGTAGGCGTCCGCCTACTCGCAATATATTGTCCGCTGTGGAGTTGATGAATGGACTCAGTGCAATGATCTTGCTGGATGTGGATATGGACTGTGCCTTTTTCAGCTGCTTAATTTCCGCTGCGAAATATTTCGCTTGTTCTGCCTTGATGTGGTGATTTAACGCAATGTCCATTTCGCCTGTACAGATGTGTGTATGCGAACGAAAACGATGATGTGCCTTTTTGCAACGCAATATGTATGCAGTAGTGCGCAATAGCTTGCCAAGATGACTGAACCGGTCCAACAGATCTATGACGACCAATTCGTCGCCAGCAGTGTAGTGTGTCTGTAATGCGGGTTGGCCTATTACCTGCAATGCCTTTACCTTAACTGGTTTTAACTCGCCTTCCATTATTGCCAGCTCTGCTGGTGCACAGTGGTGCAGCTCATTGATTGAATAATCAGTTGAATTAGGACCGTGCCACCATAATGCGTAGTTTTGCAACGCCAAAGGGGATATGCCACGACTGGCGCAATCAGCTGGGTTGAGTTTGGTAGGAATGTGATGCCAATGCCTGATATCTGTCATCGATTGAATGCAGCCAACGCGATTAGCAACGTACTGCTTTAATTGTGATGTGTTTTTGCGTAGCCAACATAGAGCAATATTCGAGTCGGAGTATAGAGTGTATGGTACGTGCTCCAAATGCAAAGCCTGCCTTGTTTCGTGTAAAAGAGTAGCCAACAACTGCGCAGCACAAAGTTCCAATCGGGGTACTGTTACCGAATGTAATGGTGCCACTTTAGTTTTTGATGCGATAATGTGACTAGTGATATTGCCATTGTGGTTTGTTGCCAAATAGAGTGCTGCAGCCATTGCCTTAACACTAGCATCGCAGAAGCCATGAAGTTGTATTTGATATCCGGGTTGCATGCCTATCCAACGCGGTATTCGTACTGCCTCCAGTTGGGACAACTGCCTTCGGTATATGAGCCATTCTTGCAACAGTTCAAGTGGTAGTGGGTCGTCCCATGCCAATTTTGCCTGCCAGAGTTTCTGTATGAAAAGTTTAGCCGTAATGATGACTGGTGCCAACATGCCAATTGGATCATATAATTTTGCTGCATCGCTAAGCACTTGCCTTTTCGTAAGATGTTGTGCATCATAAGAGCTGACCTGATAGAAGAGTTCATCAGTGAGTGGATCCCAGTGTAAGCCAAGAACAGTAGTTTCTGCCAAGTGCGGATTAAGTTGACATGGATCAGCATCGCCAAGAAGATGTGCCAAGACTTCAGCGCTATTCGATTTCCATTTCCTGAGATGGAACTGACCGTCTGCCAAAACAGATGAGACATCGGCCGCCAGTTGAATCGCCATGCCAATAGAAGGTGTACTCTTAAGGTAGTCATCTACGTAGAAATCATTCAGTATGCTGTGCAAAGCAGTTTTAGCTCGTACTTCATCTGAGAGTTTATAAGAGTTGTCTCTGCCACATTGCTGCATAGCGCGAACAGCCAAATATGTGCCACTAGTTGTGCCATATGTAACGGTAGCCAATTGATATGTGCGAATGGGCTGATCGGATGATTCCCGCCAGAGGATCTGTTGCCACTGCCTGTGCCTCTCGTCAACCTTGACTTGCCTGAACATTTTCTCCACATCAGCTGTGAATGCTATTCGATGCTGCCTGAAGCGAAGCAAAAGGTTAAGTAATAAATCCTGTATTGGGGGGCCAGCGAGTTGTGTATCATTTAATGATATGCCATTCGATGTTTTTGCGGAAGCATTGAATACGACTCGGAATTTTGCCATGACTGCATGATGTGGAATGTAGTATGCCTGAGATGGGTCGCCTGAGTGATGCTGAATAGGGTGCATGTGACCAAGTTGTTCGTATTCGCGCATAAAAGCCACATATCTTTGCCTCAGCTCTGAGTTGGATGCCAATTTTCGTTCCAACTGGTGAAATTGCCTGAGTGCCATCTGATGTGAATTGCCAAGTGGTGGAGCATCTGGTGTAAATGGTATTTGCACGCAATAACTGCCATCATCAAAACGCTTATGTGTGCTCATGAAAATGCACTCGCAAAGATCAACTGCTGCTAGTGTATCGCCTTTAGCCATGTCAATTTCTTTGGATTCAAATAGCCTGTGTAGAAGGTCATCAACTCGCTCATCAGGCGCCTCCACACGCAATGCCATAGATTGTTCCGCCTTGTAGTTATGCACGGTTGCTTCAGCTGGTCCGAATACAACCCAGCCTAATTGCGTATTTTGTGCCACAGGATCATCAAGTTCGCCACGAACTATGCCATCTGCCAACAATTGGCCCCATACGTCTGAGCCAAGCAATGCATCTATAACACCAGTTTCGCCAAATTTCGGGTCTGCCAAGGGCAAATTGCGTAAATGCTGCCAACAGTTTTCCATGATTGGAGCCACAGGGATTGCTGAGGTAATTTTGTTGATGATGTAGAATTCAACATCCAAGCCAAATGAAGCATTGACAGTCGAAAATATGCGCAAGACTGCCCGGCCATTAGTATATGAACGATTGCCACTGCCAACGCCTTGTAATTGCAATGCACTTTTCTGCTTCCGCAGAGCCAGTTGATTAAAATATCGCGTACTCATTAGACTTACCTGAGAGCCTGGATCGCATAGAGCTCGACACGAGTCGATATCGCCAAAGCCATTTAAGATGCGTATTTGTGCTGTTGCCAAGAGTATAACCCGATTGCCTATAGTAGCGAATGTCTGCATTGGATGGTGTAGTCACTGATGCACACGTGGTGGGATGCCAGCCTGGTTCGGTTTCGCTGGTGCCTGAGGTGTAGGTTGTGCCTGCTGTTTGGACTCTTGCAAAGGAGGAGTCTGCGCTGGTGAACTTCGGCATAGTAGAGTGTGATGCCTGCCATTGCATATGCGATAATTAGTTGAGCCACATGCCTTAGTAGAATGTCCAGGTTTCAAGCAATTGAAGCAAAGATTCGAGCCTTTAAGCAGTGTGAAGCGCTCCGCTGGTGAGCAAGCCAATAGCCTGGTGCACTTGCCTATTTGGTGCGATGCGTCATTGCAAAACTGGCAGTGGCCTGAAGTAGTTGCTATTAGGTTTGTCCTCATTAGACGTGAGCCTGGCCTTTTATAATCAGCCTGAGATGTGCCACGATATCGTAGTGTAGCGGTCTTGCCATCAGATTTTGGTTTGCTCTCCATTGCTCGCCAAACAGTGCCAACTAGACTGTGAGCTCGTGTCTCCAAAAATGCAAGCAAATCTGCCAAAGGAGGAATTTGATTAGTTGTGCGGCTCATGCCCCATGCCTGTTGCGTAATTGTTGGTAACTTGGCCACTATAATGGGTACCGCCAATGCATCCCATTGATCCACAGGTAGGTTCATTACTGCAAGTGCTCGCAAGGACTCTCGCACTGTATCAACCACCGAGAGCAACTCAGATGTTGACTCAGCCTGTGGTGGGTTGAAGCCAATTAGCCTAGCCACGTGTATTTCAGCCAACTGTTTCGGATTGTCGTACCGAGCCTTCAGTGCAGCCCATACCTCATCGTACCCGCCACTGTACATGCCTCCGACAAGTGCCACTGCATCACCATGGACTGCCTCTCGCAGTTTGCCAAGCTTGTATGCCTCTGGAAACTCTTGCGAATGTACCAATGTCTCGAATGTGTCCTTAAATGCCAGCCAATTGCGCATCGTGCCATCAAACTTGGGTACCGCCAATCGTTCCAATTTAATTGCCAAGCCTTGGGAAGATACAGCACCGCCTGCCATATTGGAAGGTGCATCCGTATTTTGTGCATCACAACGGGCCAACTCACGCCGCAATGCAACGCACGCCTCGTTATATAAGTCTTCCACCTCGTCCCACAACTTGATGTGAGACCATAATTCAGTATCATCTCTTGCCAACGCCACCAACTCACCATGTGCAGTTTGTAGTTTTTCGAAATGTGCCTGCAATGTTGCACGATCTTGCTGCATACCAAAGCCATCCTCAACGTAGTCATCCGCCACTATTTTTGCAGCTACCCGCTTTAATGATGACCACGCAGCCGTACGCCTATTTAGGGCAGCCATATTTTCTTCGTATAAAAACGCCAAAAAAGCCAAAAACGCAATTTAATTTAAAATAAAAACCGAAACTCCCGGGTTTCGGCACCAACAAATGTATGAAAAACAAACACGAATTTCCATACACGCAAAACTTTATGTATTTATTCGTTAAGGATTTAGTCAATTAAATTTTATTACATTCTTATACAAATTTTTTACTGATAAATTATTAATATCTTGTCAAGCCAAAAAACGTGCACACACCGCCAGTAGCCAATTAAGAAGAAGGAAAAGGAAAAAGCAAAAAAGCGAAGCCAAAATTATCGCTGCCAGATGTTAGGATGCCATTGTCAAAAAGTGCTAAATGTGTGCTGCCACATCGCCTAGTTGCTGTGCCAAATCTCAAACAGAGTTTAAATAGTTAATGAAATTATTACAATCATGATTTTATATAGATACTTAGGTGTGGCTAGGTAGTAGCTTAGGTGAATAAAAAGGAGGGTAAATAATATAAAGAGATAGAATCTTTATAGTATACACATTAGACTGTTTTCACACCTATTTCTTATATTGTTTAGAGCACTATTTGTGCTCAGTATTCATTTATTATTCATTTAAATAATAAATAATGAGCCACATTATTTTTATTATTTAACAAGACTAATTCGGTATATACTTTGTGATAATGATTGAAATTATATATTTTCAATTTGAGTTCATGTAACCGTAAACATATGCATATATTATACCTTTACACTATTATAATTATTGTTCTGCGATTGACACAGAACTATTCATTTTATTTAAAAATTATTCTTATCGCTGCACATTAATTGAGTTTATAATGAAATGAAAACTTCAATAATATAATATGTAGACAGTGTCGTAGCCGCATAACACCAATTTGTTTGACAGAGGTTCATGTTAAGTAAATATGGTATGTGATTCATTGCAGAGGAACTTAAGGGTGAAATATAGAAAATATATTAATATTAATATATATCATATTGTCAGTTCTTCCGTTTTTCAGTATTTGAATTGATAAAGAAATGACTTTGAATATTTTTTCAAATGTTCTCATTTTTATCCCTCGAAAACAGACAGACTCTTTTATGTTGAAGCAGATATGTTATGTTGGATAATATTGGATTATTCAAATAAAGTTTTATATTATTCAACCCATAGGGAATATGTTTTCCGATATCTTTTTACTACCTAAAAGGTACTAACTTTACTATATTACACAAAACTTACATATATGTGAAAAATATAAAAACAGCTTAATTCTTATTAAACTTAGACTAGGTGCTCTCTAATAATAACAAAATTTAAATTTATTAATAATATTATTAAGATATTTTGAAGTTACAAAACAGCTATAGACAAGTGCAGGCATTTCACCTGGACCCATGTTAAATACAACTTTTATACCGGTACCTACATCGTGTTTTTATACTTTCTTCCTCATCTCATTCCATGTACAAAGTCTTCAACCTTTTGTGTGTTTGCTGTGAAATGGGCATTTGGTTACAGCAGTAGCAGCAACAACAACAACAATAACAACAACAACAACAACAACAACAGATAATACAATAGAATCGTTGGCCTATTTCAGTTAACACTTTTATTTGTTAATTTCTTAAATAAACTTAATCAACTGACGATTATAGTTAACAATGAAATTTATAGACTAATATTGCTGAAGTGTTCTTGCTGGAGTTTCAATATTCGTAATGGAGGTTATTAATCTTTCAAGTCACTATACAATCAATACGTCAACTATTAGAACTTTGTGCCTTTTTTACATATTATAATCCTACTTTCTCAATAATTTCACAATTTAAATATTTTGTTGGTATCACCTTTGAGTAATATGCTAACATTTACTTACGTGTCTGACGCTCTTCCTCTGTATATTGGAGTGCCTTGTTAACAGGTTATATTTTTCGTGCTATTTCCTCATATCATTTTAACTAAAATTAACTTGTATCACCCTAAAACAGGATTAAAGTAATGTTATATACGCTTAATATTATTGCCACAAACTCACCACCACTGCACCTAACAGTTCCTGTAAAGTATCTGCTTTTTATTCATGCATTTCATCACTCTCCAAGATGCCAACTATATAATCACCAAAAATCGATTCATCTCTCTGCCACTTGTTTAATTTTTCCAGTAATAATTTCTTTCAAATGATATATGTACGTCGTATTAATCTTTTTAATTGTTACTGATTAATTTTTTTTAACTTTTGGATCAGTTTTGTTGTTTAGTGCAACTGATTTCATTTTAAATTTACATTGTCAATTTATCTTATAAATTCATTGTAAGTTGATATTTTGTTAGATTATAAATAATTTACTTTACTTTTAAAGTTAAGTAATTTCCTCCATTTATTTTATTTGTTTTTTAGTTGTCATTTGATAACTGTCATTTACAGTGGTGGCAATAAATATGTTCTTTGATATTGAAATGACTTGTTTAATAGTGTATAGTGTGTGGCTTCGTTGCCACACACTTTATTTTAAATAAATATAACAAATGTTTATAAAACGAAAAAAACGTTGTGTTACTAAAACGTGAAAAATAGGAATAAGAAGGAAGCCCGTCGCCAGTTACTGTAGTTAGCTGCTCATTGAAAAATGTTCCTTTTGCCCACAGATGGTGCGAGTGCGTGTGCATTCACACACAGGGCGCTGTAGTGTGTGTGTGGCGAGGGGAGTACTGTTCTACCCCACAGTACTCCCCCCTTAATAGCTTGGCCGGTGGTCTGGTTTATTAACTGTTGTAACCTGCTACTCTAACGGATCTTTCACATTAAAGGTTACATGCGACGCATCGCCCAATGCTTTGTGAACGAATACAGCTTTGCTAGAATGATTGGACGTCGGAATTGGTCGTACTTGCTGGATGTGCTCGCGTAATGTTGCTAGGAATTTTTGTTCGTCCGGAAGCTTGTTACTTTCCACAAAAAATTCTCCCGGTAGACGTAATGTCGTTCCATACAACATTTCAACTGCTGAAGTGTTGATATCTTCTTTATAGGATGATCGAAGTCCGAGTAAAACTGATGGTAACAATTGTATCCAAGCGTGTTTAGATCGCGACATAAGAGCTGTTTTTAAAGTGCGATGAAATCGCTCAATTAACTCGTTAGATTCTGGGTGATACGGAGATGTACATATTCTTTACGTGCCTAAACGATTTGCTAGCGCCTTGAATAAAGCTGATTCGAACTGGGTTCCGTGATCAGTTGTTATGATTTTCGGGGAACCAAATCGCGATATCCAGTGTGCGTAAAAATTTTCTGCGACTGTATCGGCGGTGATATCTTTCAACGGAACGGCTTCTGGCCATCGTGTAAATCTGTCCATCATGGTTAGTGCATATCTGTAACCGTCACATTCGGGAAGTATTATTAAGTCCAAATGTACAAGATCGAATCGCTGATCCAATGGATTGAAAGCTTGTGACGTAAGTTTATTATGCCTGTTTATTTTTGCTTGTTGACAACTTTGGCACGATCGTACCCAATTCGCGACATCTTTTCGGATTGACGGCCACACGTACTTGCTGCATAGTTGTTTTGTCGTTGACTTAGTACCAGCATGTGCAAATGTCTTCTTTCGAAGTGATGATGGAATATATGGTCTGATGATTCCTGTTGATACATCACAAAAGGTTGACATATCGGCCACTATTTTTGCAGCTACCCGCTTTAATGATGACCACGCAGCCGTACGCCTATTTAGGGCAGCCATATTTTCTTCGTATAAAAACGCCAAAAAAGCCAAAAACGCAATTTAATTTAAAATAAAAACCGAAACTCCCGGGTTTCGGCACCAACAAATGTATGAAAAACAAACACGAATTTCCATACACGCAAAACTTTATGTATTTATTCGTTAAGGATTTAGTCAATTAAATTTTATTACATTCTTATACAAATTTTTTACTGATAAATTATTAATATCTTGTCAAGCCAAAAAACGTGCACACACCGCCAGTAGCCAATTAAGAAGAAGGAAAAGGAAAAAGCAAAAAAGCGAAGCCAAAATTATCGCTGCCAGATGTTAGGATGCCATTGTCAAAAAGTGCTAAATGTGTGCTGCCACATCGCCTAGTTGCTGTGCCAAATCTCAAACAGAGTTTAAATAGTTAATGAAATTATTACAATCATGATTTTATATAGATACTTAGGTGTGGCTAGGTAGTAGCTTAGGTGAATAAAAAGGAGGGTAAATAATATAAAGAGATAGAATCTTTATAGTATACACATTAGACTGTTTTCACACCTATTTCTTATATTGTTTAGAGCACTATTTGTGCTCAGTATTCATTTATTATTCATTTAAATAATAAATAATGAGCCACATTATTTTTATTATTTAACAAGACTAATTCGGTATATACTTTGTGATAATGATTGAAATTATATATTTTCAATTTGAGTTCATGTAACCGTAAACATATGCATATATTATACCTTTATACTATAATATATTATAATTATTGTTCTGCGATTGACACAGAACTATTCATTTTATTTAAAAATTATTCTTATCGCTGCACATTAATTGAGTTTATAATGAAATGAAAACTTCAATAATAAAATATGTAGACAGTGTGGTACCCGCATAACACCAATTTGTTTGGCAGAGGTTCATGTTAAGTAAATATGGTATGTGATTCATTGCAGAGGAACTTAAGGGTGAAATATAGAAAATATATTAATATTAATATATATCATATTGTCAGTTCTTCCGTTTTTCAGTATTTGAATTGATAAAGAAATGACTTTGAATATTTTTTCAAATGTTCTCATTTTTATCCCTCGAAAACAGACAGACTCTTTTATGTTGAAGCAGATATGTTATGTTGGATAATATTGGATTATTCAAATAAAGTTTTATATTATTCAACCCATAGGGAATATGTTTTCCGATATCCTTTTACTACCTAAAAGGTACTAACTTTACTATATTACACAAAACTTACATATATGTGAAAAATATAAAAACAGCTTAATTCTTATTAAACTTAGACTAGGTGCTCTCTAATAATAACAAAATTTAAATTTATTAATAATATTATTAAGATATTTTGAAGTTACAAAACAGCTATAGACAAGTGCAGGCATTTCACCTGGACCCATGTTAAATACAACTTTTATACCGGTACCTACATCGTGTTTTTATACTTTCTTCCTCATCTCATTCCATGTACAAAGTCTTCAACCTTTTGTGTGTTTGCTGTGAAATGGGCATTTGGTTACAGCAGTAGCAGCAACAACAACAACAATAACAACAACAACAACAACAACAACAGATAATACAATAGAATCGTTGGCCTATTTCAGTTAACACTTTTATTTGTTAATTTCTTAAATAAACTTAATCAACTGACGATTATAGTTAACAATGAAATTTATAGACTAATATTGCTGAAGTGTTCTTGCTGGAGTTTCAATATTCGTAATGGAGGTTATTAATCTTTCAAGTCACTATACAATCAATACGTCAACTATTAGAACTTTGTGCCTTTTTTACATATTATAATCCTACTTTCTCAATAATTTCACAATTTAAATATTTTGTTGGTATCACCTTTGAGTAATATGCTAACATTTACTTACGTGTCTGACGCTCTTCCTCTGTATATTGGAGTGCCTTGTTAACAGGTTATATTTTTCGTGCTATTTCCTCATATCATTTTAACTAAAATTAACTTGTATCACCCTAAAACAGGATTAAAGTAATGTTATATACGCTTAATATTATTGCCACAAACTCACCACCACTGCACCTAACAGTTCCTGTAAAGTATCTGCTTTTTATTCATGCATTTCATCACTCTCCAAGATGCCAACTATATAATCACCAAAAATCGATTCATCTCTCTGCCACTTGTTTAATTTTTCCAGTAATAATTTCTTTCAAATGATATATGTACGTCGTATTAATCTTTTTAATTGTTACTGATTCATTTTTTTTAACTTTTGGATCAGTTTTGTTGTTAAGTGCAACTGATTTCATTTTAAATTTACATTGTCAATTTATCTTATAAATTCATTGTAAGTTGATATTGTTATATTATAAATAATTTACTTTACTTTTAAATTTAAGTAATTTCCTCCATTTACTTTATTTGTTTTTTAGTTGTCATTTGATAACTGTCATTTACAGTGGTGGCAATAAATATGTTCTTTGATATTGAAATGACATGTTTAATAGTGTATAGCAGAGAATATCTTTTATAGAATGGAAACTCCGCCCACCTCGATCAAAACTAAGAGAAATTGCTTAAGAAAATTCATTTTTTATAACATTTTTGTCACACGTATTAAATAAGTGTGATTAAACCACATTTATGCCACTTTTACGCTCTTTCATGCTCTTTCAGGGCTGCTGCATAACTTTTTTTCAACTACTTACTGTATAACTTTTTATTGAAGCAGATATATAAATACTCATTAATGAATATAAGCATACATTACATATAATTTATATATTATTAAATTAAATGGATTTATTTACAATAACATATAATCATGCAAAAAAATTTTTTTGATTGTAATTGAGTATGTTAAACAATCATTTATACACTTTTCTTAGCTATTATTATATTTTTGATGTGCGAAAATAGTTCAGAAGGGTTTCATATAATATGATGAAAGCAATTAAAATCTATTTTAGCTTGAAATTGAAAAAATATGTTTTGAAATTAAATTCAGTATAATATCATGTTAATAATGTTTTCCATTTAAATAGCTTTTTGGAGTTAAAATATTCATAAATTGGGTATATTATACAATAAAATGTAAAGTTATATGACATTAATATATGTATACAATTTATATACTATTGCATGCAGCATAAAATTCACATATCTATGCACATAAATTGTATACTGAAAAATAGAAATAATTAATTTTTATAATAGTAATTCAGTGTTAGACATATCAAAAGTCATGTTATAATTTATTTTCCTTATTTTCAGAAATAAATAACTGAGTATATAGCATTGTTCACTTCAAGAAATATAATATTCCAAAATTTATTTAATATATATTGGTTTTCGTTAGAAATTGTAGAAAATTATTTCAAAATTATATAAATTTTTAAACAATCGCAATAAATACTAATTTTATTGCTTGCACGGCCACTCCATTATGGTGAATGCATTTTTAAAATAGAGCATTGCCTAAGAAATTTTCATTCTTATTAATTCGTAAAACGAATTTTGTAGTCAGTACCGAATAGATAGTTGATGCGTGAAGGTGCGCACTCACGTCAACAAGCATCGTTCGATTTCTGTCTACAAAATTTCATTTTATGATTTCGTAAAACGAATTTTGTAGTTAGTACCGAATAGGTCGTTGATGCGCAAGGGTGTGTGCGCACATTGTTAATTTTTAATAAACATTTTATGTTAATTAATTAAATATTATAATTTGTTTTTATTTTATGTATTATTAGTTTTGGGGAAATTTTCTTAATACTTATTCAAAAAGTTGTGTTGTGAATTAATTACTTCATACTTTTTTGATGTTTTTAAAAATATTTCAACATTCTTTTACTGCAAATAAATTCAAACAACATAAAATTAAATATTATAGTATTATTTTTTAGAGACACATCTAACACACACATTCGTTATCTTTTATGTATTTAAAAAATATACACTTAACTCATGCATTTATATATAAATTTAATTTTTATTAAAAAATACACTTGATACAATTCATACAATAGT